CAATGTACACTAAAAACTTGTTCAAATTTCTCTGAGACACCTTAAACGATTAGGAACAAACAGATCAAATTTGGGGCGAAAAAGGTGAAGTAGGTTTTATTTCTCTCCGTACTTATAAAGAGTCTGGGTGACTTACGGTTTGAGCTGACACGGTGTTCGAACGTGTTGAAACATACTGTGATCGCGACCCCCTTGCAATGGAGCAAATTTCTACTTGTTCAATCTTTGCCGGCTCTAACGTTATTTGTTATTGTCAAACAGCTCGCTAAGCGCACAAATGCATATGCGCATGTTATTTACTGATATGACACTCCCCTGCTTCTCGTCACCATTTTCCCCGCAGCGATTCATAAATAACGTTTTGAAAAACTTGAGCAAATGTTTTGTTACAAATCTGTTGTTTGTAACCTGCATAGAGGTGTTTTAATTCTGCTTTATTTTAAGGCTTTGTTCGATTATATTTTTATCTCAACTCCTTCGAAAGAAGGCAACGCAATGGTTAATTAAGCAATTGCTGTCAAATGAAACATGTTTGCCCTTAATAGGCGCCTTCCTCAGTGATTGGACAGTTAGTAGTCAATATGTCTGTCCACCGTTGGGCTCCTATCTGGCTCTTTGCATTAATATCTTTATCTGTTTGTAGAATATCAATATTGAATTTTGCCTTGAGCAGGGCAATTCGGCATCACAGATCACTGCTTCGTCCAGTCGAAACTTTGATGGAATTCAGGAAGAACTTAGGACTCTTCTANATAGTCGCTATGCACGTAACACTTAAAGCGGGTGTAAGCAATTGTTGTCACAGAAACATCTTTGCTCGTAATAGGCTCCCGGGAGGGGGGGCGGGGGGAGACTCCTAGATAAAAAGAATGCGGTTGTTCGTCGGAAATTTTCAAAAGAACCCCTAAGAGGTACCAAGATCCTCTTTTTTGGGCGTGGCTTGATGTATTTTTCACCCCTAAGAGGTACCAATTCTAAAACAACACATGATCTCCTGTCGTTTTTATTTTTTGGCTCAATACCGTGAAAGGAGCCGCAAAAGTTCCTGCTGTGGACCTTTTGAAGCTGAACACCCTAAGAGGTACGAAAATCGCCTTTTCTAACCCCTAAGAGGTACGACGAGCACCCCGTCCTTTTTAAATGGGACTTGACCCCCTCCCACCCCCTCCGCCGGGATAGGCGGCTGCCTGATTTGACAGTTAGCAGTCAATAAGCCTGTCCACTGTTAGGTTTCTGTTCTACTCGTTAAATTAAATATCTTTATCTGTTTCTAGAATATCAATGTTGAAATTTGTCTTGAGCAGGCCAATTCGGCACCACAGATCACTGCTTCGTCTAGTCAATACTTTGATGGAATACAGGACGAACTTAGAACTCTTATATTGGAGAAGAAAGCTTCTAACGAAGGAGTATTCGAATGGATCAATGTAAGTGTGTTGCATCAAAA